GATTGTCTCTCTTTATGATGCAGCAGGAGAAGCCATCTACTTTTTAGGTTCTCCTTCCTCGATTCTAGTCTCTCGCCTTCACTCTTTAGTCTTAAATCTCTACCCACATAATCAGGGGCACGTACATTCCGAGGCTACTGTAGTTTGTATATTCTTTGCAGCGATCCACAAGTTGACGAGAATCAATGTGATTTGATTAATTCTCTGGGGTCTCGACAATTACCATTTGTTTACCCAGGTTCTAGGTAGGAAGGAGGGTAGATACCAGGTACTTTGCTTTGCTACTCTAAGTAATCCGCGTACTGCGTAATATGGATGGTTACCCAAGCCATCGAATCCCGAATGATAGCTCATTACCAAGTCAACACCCAGCCTCTTCGCCTCTTCGTCCACAGCACAGTGCACACTCAATCATCGATTCCACCCTCATCTTACGGATCATTATACAGCGCAGAGATTCATGTATAACCCCCGTTGACCAAGCCGTACTTGCGAACCTAGAACCTTTTGCAGAATGATAATTATGGGACGAAGGAAACGGCCCAGAGACAAGTTTACGAAGGGGAATAGACAACCAAAACAACAAAAGCAACAGAGACAAAATACGTTTTGTTCCCCCATAGAATGGCTGGGGACCCTTGGAGCCTCGTGCTTATTATTCGATAACTGCCATCGGTTGCCATGTTGATTTATTAATTTTCTTTTCTTCTGCGTCCCTCTGTCTGCTCTGTCTGCTCTGTCTGCTCTCACTCCTCTCACTCCTCTCAACTCCTCTCAACTCCTCTCTCTCTATTAATAACATAATTGGACAATGGATTCATTTACCTGGGACCCACTTATATAATCCCTGAGGATAAAATTTCCAACGGGAGAGATAATTCGTCAGCCTGACTATTCACGAACCTTTAAAAAGGACCAAAGGTAATTCTAGCGAAATTGGAAATTGGTTCTTGGCCCGTGCTAAGCCAAGCTAACCAAAAGTGGATCTGTCGTACCTGAGCGAAGAAATCTTGTGTGATCCTGTGAAGCTTGTGAGCCTGTCCTGTCCTATCCTGTCCTATCCTATCCTGTCCTGTCCTGTCCTGTCCTGTCCTGTCCTGTATCCTGTACTATCAATATTATTCACTTTTTTACTCTCACCCCCCCCCCAACCCAACCCAACCTACCTCCCTCCTCCCTACCCTTTTCACGAAAACGAAAACAAAATAATAATAATTCATAAGCCCTCTTTTTCCATGACGACGGCAATGAGGGTGACGTCGAAGTTGTAAATATTAAACTGCCCAAGTCGGCGGAAGTCACTCTTTTAAACAATTAGCTTTACCCATTGAGCGCTGTAGACGCAGCTGCAACAAAAAGGGCAACGCCATGAACGACGCTGAGCCATCACTCTTTCTGGCCAGACACGAGCATGCATACGGGCAATCTCACCACAATCATTTAAAACAACACCAAAAATTCCACAACAAACGTCAAACGACTGTCATTGAAACGGCGACAGCTGAAGCTTCCACTATAACGGAAGTCTATCAAACCATATCCGTCGTCCAGCAGGTTGATGTTGATAGCGATGGATCGACGATCGCGGTCCAGACCCTTCCAGCAAGTGAATACTCGTCTTTGAACATACAGGCCGCAGCGACAACAACACCCTCGACTTCTTCGAGTACGAGTACAGATATCACTTCCACGCTTTCTACAGATCTCGGGGCTCAAGCTACATCATCTGGCCAAGTCGTCATATCGTTATCATCGAGCACTGATGTGACTTTGACTTCCACTCCTTCCACTAGCTTTTCTACTTTCACTCCTACTTCTAATTCAACTACATGTAAGTTGAACTTTCAAAGCTTTTCTAGAAACAATGTGTTAATGGTATGATATTAGTAATTTCTAGCTCAATTCCGATTTCGACTCCAGTCTCAGTGTCAGTTTCGATTTCAGGTACATTTTCAAGTTCTACAACATTATTTTCAAACGCAACTACTTCTTCTTCGATTTCTTCCTCGTCATCCACATCATCTACATCGCCCACGTCACCCACGTCGTCCACAACTAATACTACCGCAATTCCCTTTGCTGGTTCAACTTCGACTTCCTCATTCGAAACTTTCGCATCGACGATAACATCTTCCTTTTTATCATCATCTTCACTTCTTTCTTCGGCTGCATCGTCCACGTCTTCGATCTCAGACTCGAGCACATTTTCGTCATCATCTTCGTCATCTCAAACAGATACGACTAGCAGTAGCGTTTACGTTGGTGGAGGTACAGGCACTGGTTCGGCATCTGGGGGTAGCGGCGCTACAAATACTGCCGCTGCTGGGAGTGGTAGCAGTAGTAATGGAACAGATGGTACTTCAGCACCATCGACATCCACAATAGTTGGAGGTGTAGTTGGTGGAGTAGCTGGTCTTGCTGCAATTTTGTTTCTTCTGATGTTTGTATTGAGATGGAAGAAGAAGAATGGTGGCATGTTATCTCTTGGAAGTGTACCTCCTTCGGCGGTTGCAGGTGGTGGAAGTAGTGGACCAGCTGGTGGAAATGGCGGCAGCGATTCGGCAAACCAGGCCCGAGGTTTCTCTAATCAAGCTCCCCGTAGCATGACAGAGCGTAGATCACTCGCTATGGCCGTACCTGCAGCGCTGGCCAGTCTCTCGAAAAATAAGCGATCCTCTCAAAATACAGCAACCAATACAGTTTCCTCAGCAGGCAGTGAAAGAGGCTTCTATAGAGTATCTGGTAAGAAGCTTCCCTCTGTTTTACAACATGGGGGCGACGGTTTTGCTGAACCAAATCCAAATACATTGAGCGGATCTTCCTTCTACCCCTCTGGAGTGCCTCCTATCCCTAACTCGAATACTTTGAGTGGCACCTCATTCTACCGAGATTCTCAGGGATTTTATGGAGGACAACCAAGTCCGCCTCTCGAACGTCCAAATAGAGACTCTGGAGTCCCAGTCATGAGACCTAGTCCTGCGAGAACCCCCGTTACAGAACATGGCCCGTTTGCAGAACCACCCGTTGCTACCCCACCTAGGCCGGATCTTTTGGGTCGTTCACACCCATCACAAGATGGCTCCCATCCCTCAAGATTCACAGAAGAAGTCTGAAATAAGAATTCTCGGCATCTTTTAGGAGAAATACTGGGAGATCGTTGGCATGGATAAATGTGAAGGGTTTCGCTTTCTGGCAGTTGTTGTGCGGATTCTGTCTTGGAATTACCTTTTTTGGGTAGTCCTTGGATATTTGCTGCAACTCTGCATTGGGTTTGGCGTTTTTTTTCCTGATTTGCAGGATTTTTGATACCAGTGAGCGCTTGGAGATTTATCTGATTTGCTGCTTCTTATGTTATGATGCCTCTCGGCAATATTCAGGGGGAGGGAGTAGTCGATTTAGGATAGCCATTTCTCCTGAGATCAGTACACAACTGATACTTATTCTTTTCCTTGGGGTAAAGTAGATGATCTTGTTGGATAATATAGGCGCCACTTTTATAGTAGCAGGCGAATAGCTAGGTTACAAGATCAGAGAGGATGGAATAAAAAATAACGTCTTTTTATGTATGAAACCCAGAGTGTCATTTTGAAGCTTAGATGCATTGTGCATGGTGATTATTCTTGGATGTGATCATTTGAAGAATTGAAAGAGTGCCAAATTTAGTTGCACACAAACATTAGAGCGGCTATGGATGTATGATGCTGCAGTGATGCATACCCTTTTGAGTCCAAGCGAGGCTGTTACTGTAAGTTCTGGGTTGGGGCCGATAAAGTCTCCCACTCGTTTCAGCAGTGTAACAGGCCCAATTATGTAGAGAATTCATTGGTTCATACAGACACTCCACGAGGTGTTTTTAACCGCGCATTGGCCGACAGCGTCTAGATTTTGTTATCGTAGTATCGGAGTTAAAGAGTTGTGCGCAATACGGGACACAAATGAAATAAAGATGGAAGATATTGGGTCAGCATGGCCATGTGATGAGCCTTGGAGTAGTACAGCAGTACAGTTGAGTGAAGTACATGAAAAAGGGCCGGCCGGCCAGAAGACCAATTAGCTCCGGGATCGTCCGTAGCTTAACAACACATTTCCAGGGCAGCTTGCTTGAACTTTAATTCAACATCTGTTGTAGGTATTATTATTGTATTGACGTACTACCTAGGTAGTAATTGTACTTTGAGATGGGGGTAGTAGTTTGATATGATAATTGGTGATATGAGTCGTGGGATGATCGGTGATCAAAAGACTCCTTCCCTGGTTTGTGTGATGCAACACTTTGAATTTCAGATAGCGAGTTGGGTAGCGAGATAACGAGACAATGCCTTTCTTTTCCCATTGACTTCTCTTCATCCATTCTACTACTTCTCTATACTTTTGTCCTTGTTGACCTTTGCCCCTCGAAGCCCCATTTTATACCTAATCATTGTGATAATCATCCTTTGAAAGCTCCAGAAAGCTCAGACCATAATTGAAATCCCCCCAAGGTCGCTCTTCTCGGCGGAAGCAACCCCTCAACACTACCAGCAAGTATTATTTACTTCGCCTTTCCCCCCAAAAGTCTCAATCGCAATACCTTCCCTGGTTCCTTCAACTCTTTATTTGGCACCACACTAGACTGTATCAGATTTCATCGAATCTCGTCTCATCTCAGTATAGAATCAATTCACTCGTCATCAGGCCACCGAGCCTTCAGGATCCACAAACAGCGCCCCAGTCACAAAGAACTCTCGGTACCCAATACATGACCTAGACTCGAGAATTAGTACACTGCGATTTTAAGGCGGAATCTCACAAACTCCGGTTCCTGGCAACTGCTCCAAGAAGCTTGTACGAATACGAATCATCATCGAGTTGAATGACTTTAACGTGGACCTGCCAAACAACCCAAGTAACTTGCGCCTTTATCTCAAGTCGAGTTGATTACTATGCGATAGTCAACAATAATGGATTCCATGCACCATGACACGAATACTTTCATGCCCCAGCATTCTGCACCGCCCATAATGAACCCCCCGCCTCAAATGTTCGGGGCTTACAACGCAGATGGCCTACCGGTTTCGACATTACCCGATTTGAATGGTCCAATTTTTGGTGATGGGACCCTTCTCGATGAAAGCAGCGAGGCAAAGCGGAGGAGGATAGCGAGGGTACGATGCGAAGTTCTGCGAAGGAAAATGCAATAGACAGAAAGGCTGACGTTGGCAGGCTTGTGATATGTGCCGGAAGAAGAAGATCAAGTGCGATGGAAAGTTACCAGCTTGTACGCATTGTATCAACTACAAAACAGAATGTGTTTTTACGCAGGTCGAGAAGAAGAGGAACCCTCCAAAAGGGTAAGCATTTCAGTTGAACAGTGTGTCGTTTTGGTTGCGAATCTTGGCCGCTAATTCTTGCACAGAGCGAAATATATCGAAGGCCTCGAGAATCGTCTAGGTCGCATGGAAAGTTTGTTGAAGCTATCTGGTTTGTCTCATCAACTTAGGCATGTTCTTATGTTTAATGATTGACGGATAATGTTCTAGGCCTCCTTAGCGAAGAAGATGGTGGACGAACGGATCTGGGAACATTGGAGAAGATATTACAGGAAAAGAATCAATCGCGGAGAGCATCTGCTGTGCCTGCTTCAAGCGCAACGTCTCCGACTCAAAGTACCCCAAGTGCCCCGCCCGAAGCGAATGGATCGACCCCTAAAAGTACTATCGCATCGCCGGAACCAAATAAAGATTCCGAGAAGCGCAATAGCAAAGCCAGTAAAAGTGGAGAGACTGATGAAAATGGGGAGCCCGTCGAGGCGCTTTCAGATATGATGTGCTCCTTAATCACAAACAACTGTGGAGAAACAAGATATATAGGTAGGAGATTTTGATTATTGAAGATGAGCTCTACTAACCAGTTCAGGATCATCGTCTGGGTTCTCCATATTTTCGCCAAAGGGCATCTCATGGGTCAATGAGAAAACAGGCGATTCATCCTTTCAAGAGATGATATCTTCTGCTTCCGTGGACGATAATAAGATGATGTATTGGAAGCCAGAAGTTTTCTCGGATTTGTTTGCACGACCGATATGGAGACAACTTCCTCCTAAAAATGAGTGCGTATCTTTACTCAAGGACTTTTTTGAAAATTTTAATTGCATGTTTCCCCTTTTCCACCAACCTACTTTCATGCATTTGGTCGATCGACAATACTCTAGTGATCCTTATGAAGGCTCCGGATGGTGGGCAAGTCTCAATTGTGCCCTTGCCATTGCTCATCGTCTCCGCGTCATGAGTCATCTCGTGCCACAAGAAGAAGACACAAAAGCTTGGGGCTACCTCAAAAATGCCATGGGCGTTTTCACTGAGCTCACGATGCGAAATACTGATTTACTCAGCGTGCAAGCTTTGTTGGGAATGGCTTTGTTCATGCAGGGTACACCAAATCCCCAGCCTTCTTTCTTTCTTGTAGCAGCCGCTATTCGACTTTCACACAGTATTGGTCTTCATAAACGTGGATCTGGCTTCAATCTCAACCCGGTTGAGATTGAGCAACGCAAACGTGTATTTTGGATAGGATACATGCTAGACAAAGACATATGCTTACGCTCAGGAAGACCTCCTGCACAAGATGACGATGATATGCATGTCGAATTACCAAGCGCTGACCCCGAAGATAACATTGGTAATATCCCTCTAGCCGATGGAAAAGGAAAAGTCAACCTCTTCCGCTTGATGTGTGAATTTTCAACGATTGAGAGCAAAGTATACAAGCAGCTTTATTCGACCAAAGCTTCAAAACAATCAGATGGGGAACTTCTCAACACCATAGGCGAGCTTGATTCTCAACTTGAAGAATGGAAAGACAGTATCCCAGTTGACTTCCGTCCAGAGCACGAGATCAAGGCTTCGCATACCCCGTTAATTCTCCACGTTGTTGTTCTTCATTTCGCTTACTATAATTGCCTCACTACAATTCACCGAATGTCTGTTCATCACGGATATTGGACTAGCCGTCTTTCCAATTACGCTATTCAAGGCTTGAATGCTAGACCTCTAAATCCTCGTGTCTTTTCCTCAGCCGCATTGTGTGTATCTGCTGCTCGGGCTTCCATACATCTTATCAAATATGTTCCCCAGGGTGACTTCGCTTGTGTTTGGTAAGTTAGATACACACACTACCTTAGTTACAAGCTGACATATTTAGGCTCATCCTCTACTTCCCCGTTTCCGCGCTTGTAACACTCTTCGGCAACATTTTACAAAATCCCCAAGACCCCCGGGCACGTTCTGATGTTCGTCTTATGAACCTCGTGGTTAATTTCCTTTCTATGTTGGGCACCGAGGAAGAAAACGGAGGTGTAAAACGTATGCTCGGAGTTTGCTCAGAGTTCGAGAGAATAGCGAAAGTCGTTTTGGACAAAGCAGAAAAGGAAACATCTTCAAGAAGAAAACGAAAGAGTGGTGATGATTCGACGAAAGCGTCACATATGCCTAGGGCGAGTCAACCACGCACTCCTATGAACACTACTCAATCCCCCATGCCTGGAGTCTTTTCTCCCAACTCGACGAACCAAATGAACTTTCAGAACGGGTTTAGCCCGATGCAAGAAGCTTCTCCGAACTCTAATTGGCAATCTGACTTTTGTCCTTCTGGAGGTGATTTTATGGGACAAAATACGGGCACACCATTTGGGAGTGTTCAAGGCTTTACAAATGGAAATGAGTTCAACTCTCCATTAAATCCAAATTCTTTCCAACAACCTTTTGTCCCTCAGGATCTCTGGCAGATGCCAATGACCCTTGAATGGGACTGGGCAGAAATGACAGGGGGCGCATATCAAAGTTTCGAAAATGGAGTTATGGGAGACCCTAATCTGCATATGAACGATAATTCACATCTACAAAATCAAGGTGGGGGAATGTAAACAAAGGATGCTGGCGTTCCCATCTAAGGATATATCTGGAGATCAAAGTGTTACAATAGTACTGGGCATAGGAGGGGGTTGCATCGGGCACAATTCAAGGACTCATAGCACTCGCTTTGCATGATGGTTACGGCGCTTTCTGGGAGGATTCGGCTGGCTTAAGGATGACTACATTTAGCTTTATAAGAGGTTCATAGGGATGGGTGTGAATTGGTATCTCCTCAGATCATGTTACTGCAAGGCTTCGTTATGCCTAACCAATGTATCTTAATGACTTGCTTTAAAATACGCAAAATAGGCCTGTACTATTAATTTTGAACGATATGAATGTAAAATAATAAAAGTTAAATGGTTATTTCAATATTATGTTCATGATTGAATATCAATAGGAACCAAAATACGTCCTGGATTAGTAAGATTTATTAAATATCAATATCAATACATTTTTGAGTTTCGATATCCAAATCGCGCTAGTGGTGTAATCAATCAAGCTTAATCGAAGCATCATAATGATTTGCCTCCCACCTCTAACTCCGACATCTACAAACCACTTAGAATACACTCTCCAACCCTCTCAAATAGTGGTCACCGTCACGGCAAGTCATTCCCAGTGACTCTGAACCACGTTTATATCCTAAATACCACACGTACAGCTCTAGCCAAGCATGACATCAATATTACGGCAATGCAGCTCTCTTGCTAGAATTTCTCAGGCGACCATCCAATCTGCCGCACGAAATTCCCTCCGTACATCATCGACAGCACCTTTATTACGGTCGCGGATAGCTGCACAAAGAGCGCGCACGTTCGTCACTAAGCCACCAAAGCCAGACAAGGACACGGGGAAGGATGAGTCGGAGGTAAAGTCGAAAAATCAAAAATCGTCAGAACCACCCACCAAGTCCGCTCCCGGAACGGAAAACCTCTACAATAGAAAGGCTCCTTTATCTTCCTCGAAGAATGGTGCGGAATCACAGGAGTCACCGCTGGTGGAAGGTTATGTGAAGTTAACGGAGGAGGAGATGACGCAACTAGAGCAAGTAATTGCTGGCATGCAATTCGGAAAAAGCCAAACTCAAGAATTGAGGGAAGCTCTCAAGGCTATAAATAAGACAGGTGTGCCATCTGAATTAAGAGATTTGATGAGCGAAGTGAAGGGTAGACCGATGACTTTGACGGAGGCTGCAAAATTCACAAAACTGGTGTTGCAGATGGCATGGTCCGCTGCAAAGATCCAGTCACAGGCACAACAGTCACAGGGAACAAATTTCAATTCAAACGAGCCCGGATTATCCACAAACGGTAACAAAGGAGACCAGAAGCAGGGGCAGGATGGCAAGCAGGGTGGCAAGAAAGGCAATCAGTACGAGAGCTTCAACTTTGGCAACTCGACGGAGATCAAACTCGATACTACAACCTTATTGATTGGATCTTTCGCAACATACTTTCTATGGCAGACACTCTCCCCCGGCACCAACAAGAAAGATATCACATTCCAGGAATTCCGGAATAACTTTTTTGACAAAGGATTGGTCAAGAGATTGACTGTGGTTAACAAGTCGGAGGTCCGGGTTGATCTTCACACCGAAGCGGCTGCAGCGATGTATCCAGACTCTCCTGCCGGTAACCCTAACTTCCATTACTATTTCTCGATAGGTTCTGCTGAAGGTTTTGAGCAAAGAATGGAACAAGCACAAAACGAGCTAGGAATACCTGTTGCTGAGAGAATACCAATTGGTTACGCTAGTGATGGAGATACATGGGCTCTTATCTACTCTTTCGGTCCTACACTTTTGTTCATTGGTGCTATTTTCTACATGTCAAGGCGAGCTTCGGCAGGTGCTGGAGGCAACAGTGGCATTTTTGGAATGGGAAAAAGTCGAGCAAAGCAATTCAATCATGAGACTGATGTAAAGGTTAAGTTTAAGGATGTTGCTGGTATGGATGAAGCAAAGCTGGAAATCATGGAGTTTGTCTCCTTCCTCAAGACGCCAGAGCAATTCCAACGTCTGGGTGCTAAAATTCCTCGCGGTGCTATTCTTTCTGGACCACCAGGTACTGGTAAAACTTTGTTGGCAAAAGCAACAGCTGGTGAATCTCAAGTACCATTCTTTAGTGTCAGTGGTTCTGAATTCGTCGAGATGTTTGTTGGTGTTGGAGCATCGAGAGTTCGGGATCTTTTCGCCATGGCAAGAAAGAGTACTCCATGTATTATCTTTATTGATGAAATCGATGCTATCGGAAAGTCTCGTGGAAAGTCCGGCGGATTTTCTGGAGGTGGAAATGATGAAAGGGAAGCTACACTCAATCAAATTCTGACTGAGATGGACGGTTTCAACACGACTGAGCAAATCGTTGTTCTTGCTGGTACTAATAGACCCGATGTACTTGACAAGGCTCTTATGAGACCTGGTCGTTTTGATAGACATATTTCTATTGACAGGCCGACCATGGATGGTAGAAGGCAGATCTTCAAGGTTCACTTAGGCAAGATTGTTACCAATGAGAATATTGAGTACTTGACTGGACGATTGTCTGCCTTGACTCCAGGTTTCTCTGGTGCTGATATTGCCAATTGTGTCAATGAAGCTGCTTTGATTGGTGAGTTTTTCCTCTTAAATCTTTTGACTATTACTAACTTTGAATAGCTGCCCGAACACAAGCCAAATCTGTAGCCATGTTACACTTTGAACAAGCTATTGAGCGTGTTATTGGTGGTCTTGAGAAGAAATCTCTTGTTCTATCACCAGAAGAGAAGAAGACAGTTGCCTACCATGAAGCAGGCCACGCAATCTGCGGTTGGTACTTCAAATGGGCTGATCCACTTCTCAAGGTTTCCATCATTCCTCGTGGACAAGGTGCCCTAGGATATGCACAATACCTTCCTGCTGGCGACACTTACCTCATGAATGTCAACCAACTTATGGATCGTATGGCTATGACTCTCGGTGGACGTGTATCAGAAGAACTTCACTTCGAAACTGTCACCAGTGGTGCTAGTGATGACTTTAACAAGGTTACTCGTATGGCTACCGCCATGGTAACTAAGTGGGGCATGTCTAAGAAACTCGGCCCTCTCCATTTCGAAACGGATAGAGAAAATCAACTCATGAAACCTTTCGCCGAATCGACAGCCCAAACTATTGATTCAGAAGTTCGACGTATAGTCGATGAAGCATACGAGAAATGTAGAAACTTACTGGTGGAGAAGAAGCATGAAGTGGGCATTATTGCAGAGGAACTTTTGTCGAAGGAGGTGCTCGGTAGAGATGATATGGTGAGATTACTGGGACCAAGACCATTTGATGAAAATAAGGATTTCATAAAGTACTTCGGTGGAGGCTCGTTAGGAAAGAGTGCACCACCACCACCGGCGACGGAGAGTTCGGATTTGCCAACTGAGGACCCTACTCCTCTTGCTTAAGGAATAATGGAGAATAGGATTTAAGAGGGTACTGGGGAGGGGCTTGGAGGAATGGATCTTTGTATAAGATGGGATATCTATCACAAGATATCTTGAATGAAGGTTGGGGAAATAGCGGTGGAGGGCAAAGACGGGGAAGGGCATACCAAAATATGCCGATGAATCAATGAAGAGAAAAGGAAGAAGGAACGAAAGGGCTACGATTCAGGCAAAAAACCAAACTTCACTCTCCTACTCTGTTTTGTGACATAACTAGCATTTGCGGCGACGGATTTACTTTAGATGGACTTGTGACTTAGCTGGATGGGCTGAGATGAATGATGATAATTGAGTCTGCATTTTTTTTGGAGGGTGGGGGTGAGATGAAGTGGAGTGAAGTGAGGTGGAGTGGAATGGGAGAATGCAGATTTTGAAAGGGGGGGTGTATGTATTATATTGTGTTAAAAATGAAATATGTATCATCTTCAATCTTTATGTGTTGTTATTGGTATTGTTGGTGTTATTTTTTGCGATTGGGATGCCATGTGAGTGTGAATGTGAAGGTTTGAAGGTAGGTAGGGGGGGTAGGCTCTACATCGGAAGAAAAAAAGAGGTCAAAATTAATCATTCCAAGAAATTCTATAACAAATCAACTCGATAATAAAATTGTAAAAGTTAATAACATTAAATGAATCATTTAAAACATTTAATTCCCTGGATTGGATCGGAACCATTGGATTGTTGAAGGGCTTTGCTAGTGCTCAGTTCCGGCCTGTTTTCTTTTTTCTCTCCCGCGTATAGGTAGGTAGGTAGCGAGGGAGGGAGATGGAGAGAAAAGTAGGTATGGAGATTTCATTCTGGTGTTTTGATTCCTGATGTTTTTTCTTGTTTTTTGTTTTTTTTTGTTTTGTTTTGTTTCTGTTGATGGATTTGGATTTGGATGTAGATAGATACATTCCCTCCGTGTCTTTTTGAGTGAATATACCAAGCAGCATCATGTGTAGACATAAGTAGCTATTGTGAAACTAGATAATCCCCCCCCCCGACCTCATTTCTCTACTCTCTACTCCCATCTGTCCATATCCTTTTCTCTCTTATCCTCTTCACTAGTTGATTCTCCAAAGGCAAATACAGATATACTCGTTCTCGTACCGGTATCACCAGTATGTGTTTCTCTGATTACTAGTTCTGATTTCGATTTTGCAGTCGATTTTGCATTAGCTTTCGTTTCTGTTTTTGCAGAATGTAAATGTGAACACGAAGGATGCCTCTTTTCCCACATTTCTTGCTGTTCGGCGCGGAATTGATGGAAGAGGATGAGAGCATCGAGATGATCTTGTGCGTCGTCGGGTGAGAAGCCGTAGTCGAGTTTGAAGGAGTGGAGGCCGGTGGGGTAGCCGAGATCGTGGAGCCACTGGAGGGGGAGGGGGGTTAGTGGGGGGTTGATGGGAGGGGGGAGGCGAAGAGGTGTGTTTGGATGTGGATTCACGTGGATTGTAATAAGGAGGTTAATGAAATAATTGAGCTTACTTACTTGGGTGTCGGATTTGGTATTGGGAGAGGGGGAGGAACGGGTTGACATTTTGTGGTGGATGAGAGGTGAGAGAAGAATGCGTTAACTTTGGTTGGGTTTCAAAACGGCAATTCGATTGCGGGTGTTTGAAGGCTGGATCTGTAATTTTAAACTCTCTGTCGGTAAAGTAAGTATTGTCAATCTAGACAAGAGACTCTGAGAGAGGTTGAGATTCTGAGAGCGGTTCATTCTCTGGGGAAGGTTCGTTTTCTGAGAGAGATTCATTCTCTAGTTGAAGTACTCTTTCAAGACATATTGAACAAAGAGTAATGAACGAAAGAAGTAAAGCTGGCTCCATGTGTTAATAAACGCTATTTAAACAAAGAGACTCGAGGCTAATTCTATAACCTAACTGTTACTGTTTTTGTTCCTGGCTACTTTACTAGTATCCTTCTAGGAAGTGGAATACTCGAAGAATAAAGGACTTCAAGCTTCTGAACACACCACTCAGTGCGGGCCACCACTCTGATGTCATTTTTGGTTTCATATTATTATGTCTTTAAGACTTTAGAAGAACTGCCAATCCTCGCTGGTATCAAACTACATGATGATGATGGAGAAGTGGTTGAAGCTTACAAGCACCCGCACACAACCGACCTGCCAATCTACAAATTCTCAGTCATTTACCACTACTTCACTCCTTCAATCTTATCTCGCAGTGTTGCAGTGTTGCAGTAGAAGAAATGCATCCATCCAGCATATCGGTTCAATGTGTCAAATAGGTAGGATTCCAATATTGACTCCCAAGGACTCAGAACGGAGATACCCGATGTCTCGACTATCTCGACTAGGAGGGCAATCGTATCATTCATCTCGTATGGGTGAGGAGCACAAGTCTTTGCTTGCGTGTGTTTTAGTAAGCAGTGCAATGTAGATGGAAGAATGGGTATACTATCTATATCTCTCCGAGTACCTACCTATCACTTATCTACCTAGTACCTACCTCAGTATCTCTACCTCAGTCGTTGTTGCTATGTTCAAGTAAACATTGCGAACCAAGCCCATCACTCCACTTCAGCTATATATATATCACCTTTTGATTGGCTCACAATTTTGAAGCATCAACCTGAACAAAGTGGCTTTTAATTTGGTCCACCAGGTCCCTCCAAAACCCCCAGCCATAGAGCAAGCTTGAGCACTGGACTTTCCAATGTTACTATTGAGGACCAAAAAGTAAGGAAAGCGCCAGCCTTATATTATTACATGAGAGAGTCACTTTGTTTTGATTGGGGTTGCGATCCTACTTTGAAGATCAGTTTGAAATTGAATATTTGATTGTATTTGTGATTGTATTCAACACCTTCTTCAATATGGATTCTGATGATAATGGTACGGTGACTCTTGAGAAGAACCATTTTGAAGCTTTGGTGAGAAGGTAAAATGATTCATCTTCCCTTCACCCTGTACGAGATGTATGCAATCATTGCAATGTCTTAGCTGCGTGCAATCACTGACCGTTTTACCCCACGACAGAGCTGACTTCGTATGTCGCTATCGATATTTCTCACGAGATCGATTGAGCGTCACATACTTATTTGTTTATGTGTAGAATGGTTCCGAGGTTGATGATTTTGGTGCTTCTCAAGATGCCGATAAGATTACAATTGCGAGAAAGGAGTATGATTCCTTGGTGAGCATCTTTACCCATTGCGCATTGTGGACTGATGGAAACCTCAAACTGATACCCTTTCTTATGGTAGAAGCAATCCTCTGGTGAATATGGTACGCTATTCATCCATCAATATGAGAGGTACCTCTTACTAGGATGAATGTGAGAGACTGATTTAATAATCTAGAGTTACTGCGACGCAGACTTATTCAAGCTGGTGTTACGGAGGAGACCTTGAATGTGAGTTTTGGAAGTTGTGGCATCCAAGTACCTACCAATTTCTATTTGCTAACACATCTTTTTGAAGGGCATGTTAATGAAGGGTAACGATGAAAATGAAGCTGCTCAGAATGCTGTCTCGAATGTGTTTGCGGAGCATGAAGATCCTGATGAAAGCACTACCTTTATGACACAAAGTCCTCCTCTGTTGACCCAAATGGACCACGGTCACCAAGCTTATACATATGGCACACCCCGAACTGGTAGAATACTTGCAAGTCGTCCTCAAGAATACAAAAGCTCTCAAACTCATAACTTTCAGTATCAAGAGACGCCGAGCTATAATCTGCATACCAGTGGTCACGACCACAATAATAATACTTTCGATTTTGAGACCGAAGACTTTTCGGATGTTAGGTCTCAGGGCTCATCTTATGAGAAGTATGCCAATCGTACTGTACAATTGTACAACCTCCCAGATGGTACTACACATGCAGATGTTTGCGATGTTGTTAGGGGAGGGATGTTGTTAGATATGTATCTTCGCAATCATGACCATACTGCGATTGTATCGTTCCTCGAACAGTCCCAAGCTAATGAGTTCTTTCGTCATGTCAAACGCAATGATTTGTATATCCGTTTAAAGAGGGTGCGTGGCCCTGAGTATATATCCATACTCAAACAGCTGACAGTCAGTAGGTCGATATCCGATGGCATGATAGGCATTTCGTCTTACCAGATCGTATCGCAAGAAATATAAGCATGGGAGTTACGAGAAACCTTGTCCTTCATAAGTGCAACCCCAGCTTGACCGAAGAAGTCATCCGTAATGATCTCGAGCACATCCATAACCTCGTATTAATTAAGGTTGTGTTCAATGGTTCCAGTGTTCTCATCTCGACCAATTCTGTTCATAATGCAATGTTTGCTCGTACTTGCATGATGAGTCGTGGGTAAGTTGGTTTCAACTATTACTTTAGAGCTCGCTAACTCTTCTTTAGCGCTTATAAATATTTAAAGATTAACTGGGCTTGTGATGAATGTGCAGCACCACTACCGAGGCGCCCAAGTCCTCAATTCGACAATCCTCCCATCACAAAGAAGGAGAACACCCCTTTGGCCAACCGTTTCGAACCTCTTAGGATTTACATGGAGGACGAATTAGAGACTGACAACGAGGGCAAAGAAGACAAGATTGTGAATGCTGACGGTGTAGATGGGAGTGCGAGAAGAAGACAACAGGGAGGTGCTGGAGTAAGAGAGCAAGAGGAAGAAGTGATGGCGTAATAATGGGCTTGGGTATTTCGGCTGTGGATATTCACATACCTGGACTTGGTTCCTACAGCATTTATGATGGGGATAGATTCGTCGATCAGCACACTTTTCGATTCATCCGGAAAGGCTGAAGATTGGTGAATACTATCCTTTACATCGAGCTATGTACTAGGTTTGGGAGGCGTTACCATGAGGAGTATGTGTCTTTGTGTATTTTCTGGCTCAGATACCCCTTGAAGAATGGTCTGATGAAGCGGTAATTTTCACTGTAAGTGTGGATGACTAGGAGGGTACGTACAAACTTGTAGTATAGAAATATCTATAGCCACCCAGTGCTTATAGGGCTAATATCGTTATCGTAGCGAAATAACAAAAAGTTTTCAAAAGTTCAATTTGTTGTCTGCGGGTGATCTACAGATTGATAAAATCCGCTTAGCAGGTTAACAGATTTATGAAGGATGAATCTGAGGGGTCATTCTATCTATATATAAAAAATAGTACACCCCTCCTTTGTTGACGACATCACGTGTAGATTATCATAATCTTATCGTATTCGAACGCGCGCTCGCCCAATCGATCGCCCTTTCTTGAACCTTCCCAGATTCCAGTTTCATATGCAAAAATAGCCAGAAACCACATGAACTTCAAACTTTCATTAAACTCAAACTGTATGGAAAACATCTCTCTTATATCTCTATCACAACGGCATCTATAATGTAAAGGTAGATGCAAAATCTACACAAGCAATCAATGCCCATACTTCCCGACGATAAATGCGACGACGCCTGTGTCATGCCAGGTCACCAAAACCGCTCTTTGAGCTCTGCATCATTCTCGACACTCGCCTCCTCTTCTATTCCCTTGATTCTAACATTTCTCGTCGTCAGTATCGTCGTTCTCCAGAAGCTCTTCCCATTATTAGCTGGTCTACAACACTCCAAGGAAGATCAAATTCATTATCTCCCTAGCGATGCCCCTCCCAGTTTGCGACAATCGCATAAAGAATATGGCAAGAAAACCACAAGAAGAAAGGCTATAGCTATCTCATTCTCTACTACCATTGCGTTGGCTACAGTGCTCGCAGAATTGATTCTTTGCGAAATCTCGAATTACCTAAATCCAGCGGCAAGGGCGTTTGCGCTCAAGATAACGGTTCCTACACTTTTATTTCTACTCGTTGTTCTTATCCCATTTCTCGAATTGCAATCAATTATTGCAGGGCTTGGGTGGTCATTCAGCGTATCGAAGAAAGGAGGATTTTCTACAACTGCCTGGCTTCTTCAAGCTGCTGGTTTTACCATATGGTTGATGGGTTTCTGGTGGCTGGGAAAAGGGATACCGAGAACTTATATCCATACAATGGCATCCGTACCTGGCAAAGGACTTAGCGAAGCTTGCTTGGATAGAGTTGGTATCATCGGAATTTCTTTGATGGCTCTACTTTCTGGGTTTGCGGCTGTCTCTGCTCCTTGGCAAACATTTGGTGCAAGGCCGAAACCCGTTTCGGAAGCTGATATTGCACGGAAACAAGCCGGCTTAAATGCTACGAATGATATGCTTGCTGTAAAACGAAGTCGGTTGAGAGCTCTTCAGCGCAAAGTTAATGATCATCCGGCTGAAGGATTTATGACGAAGGTTATTGGAAGTATACGGGGAAATACCGAAGTACAAGAATTGAAGGCTTTGGAGCTAGAGATATCTGGACTTTCATCTATGGCTCAAAACCTTTCCACCTCGTTATCGATGTTGCAAAACCGTTACGCAACGAAACAAAGATCCTCTTCACCGCTCGGTAAAATTGTCTTCACGCCCAGTTCTTACGCCTTTTCGTTATATTGTATATATCGCATTGGAACGACTACGTTAGCTGTCCTTCGACGTCTTCTCTTTCCGACCGACCCTGCATTCTTCAGTTCATCATCCACGGATCCGGTTAATCGTATTCTCTCTCTATTCGCTAAGCACGTAAATCCAGCCTTCGATCAATTAGCATGGTCTCGTCAAATATCCTTTCTCTTATCGGCTGTAATCCTCTTCGCCTCCTTTAATTCCGTACTTCAGACCTTCCATATGCTCACCAAAATCTCACCGTCGCTCCTCTACCAAGCTCAAGCTAATCTGGCACTCATCGTTGCACAAATCAGCGCAATGTATGTCATATCTAATGCGTTACTTCTGAGAAGTAATCTTCCATCGGAGATGAAAAGTGTAGTGAGCGATGCACTTGGCAGTCCATTAGAACCGGGTTTTGTAGAAACTTGGTTTGAGGGGTGGTTTTTAGTTGCTAGTATTGGAACCGCAGTGGGAATTTTTGTGGGTAGAAAAATCATCGGTTCGGGTTCAGATTGGGATGATGAGTATGAAGGTGATATGGAATTGGGACAAAAGCAATCTTGAGAAATGTGGGTTGCGTTTGGATTAGGCATAATCGAGACGCATATCTTGTAAAGGCGTGTATTGTATTTCTATGGGAGTTTGATGGCCGAGCGGTTTAAACTTAATGGGTATACCTAGGGTGGATTATTTTATATTAACTTTCATAGTATTCGAATATGAGTTAAAGATGGATTACGTGACACATGAATGATAATTGCGAGTGGGTAGTAGTGGTAGCAGTATGCATTTATGTCAGGGGAGACCTTCCGAGGGGTATGTAGGCTGCTTTTTGTGCATATGTGGAATCCCTAAGGTGTTGTAAAGGTTTCGGGGCCTTTGGTAAAAGATCGGAAGATTGAAAATTTACTTTCGAGGATTACCAGAGGTTTGAGGCTCAATGGCTTCAGAGGTTTCCGGAAAAGATTGGAAAGGTGATGGGGGGTGTGTTCCTTTGATATATGAATCAAAGTGCTTGTTTGCTATGACTAATATATCTGTACATAATGCCATCAGAGGTTTTCGGAGCCGGGCGGCGACGGTTCGACTGCTTCGGTATCGAGGTAGTCGTCCCACAGCGTAGCGATCGAGCTAATGATCTGTTGGCCTTCATTTGCTCTGTTAGTAGCGGCATTGGCTGTATTCATAAGACAGAGCTGGCTGTGAGGCCGGCTTCGTGGTTTGTAAGTGTGGGCGTTCGTACAACTGAAGGCACTTTCGCTTAACAGGGACTTATTGACCAATCAGATCATTAGGATTATCGAAATCTAATTAAATATTCACATTCAATTTTTAAAATAAAATCCATTTCATAATATTTTTATTTCAAAATTTTAAATATACTAATATCTTTTAATTTTTAATCTTTCTTACTTTTATGATTTTCAGAAAATCATAATTTAGAATCAAAATCTTATTTTATAAATAGAGTAACTGAAAAGGCATTAAAACCTTAATCTAATCAATCAGACTTCTTTATACAGGGTATATTACACGGACCACTCGGGCGTCATGAGTTGATAGTCTAGAGGATAGTATATATCTCATAGCTTTTAATTGCTTATTACTTTAGATGCTTATCCTATTACTTTTGAGAAAAATTATCTATTCCCTAGAGTGCGAACTTACGATGCCTTCGCTTAATGAGGACTTATTGGCCAATCACATCATCAGGATTCTCGAAATTTGATTAGATATTTATATATAATCTTTAATATAAAATCTCTTTTATAATATGTCGGAACACATGACCAACAACGTAATATTACATGTTATACTTTACCCTACATATATACAAAGTGTGTAAGTGAGGATAGTATATATATAGATATAGCAATTCCCTTTTTATATAAAAAGAATAGATAGAAATAAACAATTCTTTTACTTATACATATTATATATATATACCTTATCAAGTCTACTCAATATAATATTTATATTTTGAAATTTTAAAAATAATAAGACAGATTGATTTTAAATCTTTATTTATCTTACAATTTTTTTAAAAAAAAGTAAAATTTAGAATCAAAATCCTATTTTATAAGTAGAGTAATCGGAAAAGCATTAAAGATACTACTCTGATCAATCTGACTTCTTTATACAGGGTATATTACACGGTATCGAGGCCGATTTAGTCGATATAATTAAAACCTTAAAAATAGATTTCTGTTTAATGAAAAAGTATATTTAGTATTCAAGAGTGTGTAAATAAAAATCGATATCATTTGTTACTATATTACTTTCGTAATTTAATACTCTTTCTTCTTTTTAGACTTTATAAATACTAATATATTAATTCTTTATAAGTATTAAACTTTCTTTAATTTTTTCTTATTTATTTTATATAATTTCATTTATATAATTATAATAATTCAATCTTAAATTTTATTAACTTAATATAAAGAATTAATTTGTAAATAATATAATAATATAATATTTATGATATTAATAATATTTATAATATTTATAATATTTAAAGATTTAATTAAAAGTTTAAAATTAATTATAATAATTTTAATATGTATATAGTATAAAAGAAGAACGAAGTTCTTATTATAATATATAGGAGCTATTTATATATATTTAGGTACTTTAATGTGCTAGTATTAGTGTATTAAATTTTATATTTAAAAATAAAATTATTATATATTTTATTTTATTTTATTATTTAATAATAAAGAAATAAAAAAAGCTTTTAAAATTAATAATTATAATCAATTTATAAAATATATTGAAAATATACATTTATTATTCTTTATAAAAAGTTTTTATTTAAAGAATAGTATAAATAAGATTAATATTAATTTATTATTCTAAAAGATAATATCAAATTAAAATATATTTAAAAATATAATAAAAGATTATTATATATTTGTTTTAAAGAAAAAGGAAGTTTATTTTATAATATAATTTTTTTTAAAAATTATAAAATATATTATATATATTAATATTTTATATTTATTTTAAAAGTATTTATAAATATACAGAATAATTTCAATCTATTTATAAAATATATTAAATTTTTAAATCAAATAATATTTAACTAATCAATAAATTAGTCTTTATTAAAAGTAAATTTTTTATAGATACTAATATATATTCCTAATTTATTATATAAATATATATAAGATTATTTAATAAATATTTAAAATTAATTATATATCAATATCTAATATAATACTTTAAAAATAAAATAATATTAAGATTTTCTAAAGTAAATAAAGAAATAAAGTTCTTTTTTATAATTAAAGCTTATTTTATATTCTTTTATAAAATTACTAAAAATATAAAAGAAATTAAAGATTATTTTTAATTAAGAAAAAGTATTAGAAATTAATATATTAAGAATTATTCACAAAAGCTTTAAAAATTATTATTATATTAATAAAAAATATATTTCCTTATTTCTTATTTTATTTTTTAAAAATAATTAAAAAGAATTCTTGATTTGATATATTTAATCTAATTTCTTTTTTAAAAATTATTTGATTAAATACTAATATTATTTAAAATTATTTTGAAACATTAAAAAAGAATAAATAAATTTATAAAAATAAATAATAAAATC